GTCACACTACCTGAAGGTAAACATCAGTGGAACCGTTCTCCTGTGATCAACACAGATTTACACCTCAGTCTCACAGGTCACTGTGAAACCTACATCCTGAGTCGAGTCTATCGTTACACCCCTGGTCCTAAGGTCATGATGAGGTCGATGTGTGAACAGGAAGTACAGCAGAACTTGAATCAAACTGTGACTGAACCAGAGCTGCTGTTGGTCTGATTCCACAGGTGCATGTCCTCCACCCCCCCTTCACCCCAGTCAAACACCGCAGCCTCCTGATGGAGTACGTGTCCCTGGCCAAGACCAGACTGAACGACCTCAAGGTGAGAGGAGGAGACTTCCTGTAGGACTGTTTGTTTCAACAGTTCCAGTTCACTTTGTTTGGTTCATGTTTCATGAGCTTTGATGAAATTTGTGTGACATGTTGTTCACATGAACCCCGTGGGTCAGATCCTAATCCTCAAAACTGAACCAAACTGGCTGTTTTTTCAGGAGTCGTTGGAGGACATGGGTTTGTACGAGGACGTTTCCGCTGCAGGGAGAGCATCAGCACAGGTAACAGTGACACAGAGACACCTTGTGGTCAGACCAGGTACTGATACGATACACTAGTAGACATTTCTGTCCAGTAATGATCTCATCACACACTTCTGGTGTGTGTGTGTCCACAGCCACAATGTCCGGCTGTTCAGGACGTAGAGAGAGCAGTGTCTCTGTTTGAGACCACAGGAAGAATCTCTGCCACCGTCATGGAGGCCAGGTAAACATTATAGAGTTTTCTATCTCTAGAAAACATGTCTATATGTATGTATATATTTATATATTTGTTTTTTGTCCCTTCTGTGCCTTCAGTATTTTCCGGAGGCCGTATTTTCTGACACGATTCCTTCCTGCTTTGCTGATTCCAAGAATGGTGATCACCTTTACCTCCTTTATATAAAAAAATATTTATATAGTGTAATTATTACATTATATCTACCTATAAACGCCTGTCTTTTATTTCCAGCTTCCTGTAAAAGCAGACGCTCGGATGAGGCTCATTGAAGCTTTAAAGAAGTGAGTGATTTTTATTTGTTTATATTTGTTTGTTCAAAGAACTCTCTCTCTCTCTCTCTCTCTGATATTTGTTTGTTCAAAAAACTCTCTCTCTCTCTCTCTCTCTGATGATGATTCTTCTGCTCAGATATTTAGATTCAGACGTTTGTAATGTTCTGTCGGTTCTTCCTCTGGTTCCAGAGCAGATAAAATCCCTGCAGCCCAGTTCTCTTCTTATGTGGAGTCGTGTCGGAGGCAGCGTCAGCAGGACAGTGAGTCTCAGTGTCATGTGTTCACTTCAATCCTCAGGAAGTCTCTGTGGTCTGGAGAACATTACAGAACTACTGCTTTATCTTAGAAACAAGTACCAGGTGAATCTGGAGTAATCTGGTCACTGGTCTAAAGGTAAACATGGTCAGCTGTCCATCAGCTTCAGTCTGTGACGTCAGGAGAACACATTCACTTTATCTCACTGTTGTTGAAGTGAAGTGAAGGCACTTTATCTCACTGTTGTTGAACTGAACTGACCTGACCGTGACGTCATTATATTTAATGCTCACACTAACTTTGAAGGTGTGGTGTTGTGTAATGTCATGTTGTGTTTTGGTCACCAGGGGGCTCTGTGTGTCTGGACACCAGTAATGATCCAGTGGAGGTGCTGAGAGTTCAGCTGCAGGAGTTCAGAGGGCTGGTGGTGGGCGGGGCTGACGGAGGTGAGTGATGTCACTGGAGGTTCTCAACAGGTGGTTCTCATGTTTCCATCTGGTTGAACACATGACGTCAGTCTGGCGGTCCAATCTCTGGTTGTCCCCTCTGTGTGTCCCCTGTCCACAGACATCATGTCTCAGCTGTCCATGATCTCCCACACACTCAGCACCATATTCCCCGCTGGTCCTGATGATGTCACAGAGTTGCTGGTCATCACAGTTGGTCTGGACTCTCCTCCGTCCCCTGAGCTCCACGTCACAGTCAGTCCCTTCTGTCTTTTCAGTCCTGGTCTTTGCACTGCAGGTTGTGATGAGATGTCTTCTTTACGTCCTCAGGTTGTCAACATGATCCTCACGAACTTCTGCCAGTGTCTGCTGGACGCCTGCAGAGCTAATCCACCGAACAAGTGAGTGGGACCACAACCAATCAGAGCGAGTGAATAAAGACAAGACACAAATACAGACACAGGTGTTAGGGGGACATCTGCTGGAAGTTTGTGTCCTTAAACGCCAACTACAGGCGGCACCGTGTGTAGAGATGAAGAAGGTTCTAGAATTTAGATTCCTTTTTCCAAGAAGTCCACAGAGTCAAGTAGTCAAATGATCAGTCAAACCTGTCGATACAATATGTATCACGGTACAGGGACAACGACAATTAATATGACAATTAATTATTTTGACAATTATTATGTTATTATTTACTTATTTTTAATTTATTCAATTGCAGTGCCTTGATTTCATTTAGGTTTAGTTCACAGTCAAACACATAAATGTAATGGTACTAATAATTCTGTACTAATTTCTGTGTTTTCAGCCTTGGTTTCCTCATTTTTGGATTTTGGTTTCGGTCAAGAATTTAAATTTTGGTGCATCACTAGTTCTAATGTTCTCTTCTGTTCTGGAGTCTGTTCTTACAGTCAGTAGTTCATGGACTTTGGAGCCTGAATCGGAATCATTCAATGTCCTGTGGTGTGTGTTTCGTTCACAGACAAAGTCTGTGGGCGTCCAGGTTCGTCAGTGTCCTGGTCTCTAACAGACAGCTGGTGTCAGGACTGGTACACAGGCTCTGGGAGCTGTTTAATAATCAGGTAAAGTCACATGACAACAGAGTTTGTTTTGTCAAAGAACGACCGACTTCTTAAATCTTAAAAAACATTCACACCTGACAAAATGAAATCTAATCAAATAATAACAACCAAAAACCAAAAATATGATCCAATCCAGGGATCATCACTAAGCCCCGCCCATGTGCTGGGGCTGGCAGCGTTGGTGGTCCACCTGCACGCCTCCATGTCCCACAGTCCTCTGGTCCAGCTGCAGCCTCCTGTCCTGTCCACAGCGGTGTCTGTAGGGGACGCTCTGGGCTCAGCTCTGATGTGCAGGACCAGCTCAGACATGACCTTCACTGTCAGGTGAGGCACAGGTGACGGCCGGTCTCCCACTGGACCACACAGTCAACACTTCCTGTTTCCTGTCTGCAGGTTGTGTGTGGCAGCTGTGAGTTATGGAACGTGCAGAGGAAACTCTCAGCAGCAGGACTACGTCCCCAGCAGCTTCTATAAAAAGGTACAAACTGCATGAAATATTTAAATGATGTCTCATAATGAGAGATGTTCAATATTAACTTTTTGCCAAGACAACTTTTTTGAGGGAGGTTAGTCCTTCAGGTGAATCTCTTCCCCCCTGACCTTCTTCCTTTCTGTGTGTCCAGCTTTTCTACCTGATCCCTCGACTGATGCCTGAGGTCAGGAGGTCAACCCCGGCCTCCGGTGATGCTGCGGTGGATGAATCATCTGAGGCGGACCTCCCCGAGCTGTGGAGCAGTGTCACAGACTCCAGCAGCTCCTGGAGGAGCACTGCCTCGAGACTGTGGCTGAACTCTGAGCTTCAGCTGAGACAGAGGTCACAGCAGGGTCAGGTCAGAAGGAGACTCTGGTTTATTTACTTCCAGGCTGTCAGAGAAGCTCCGTCTCTACGCTGTTTGATCAGAAATGACCGTTTTCTTTTGTTTGTTCAGCTTTCTTTGACTGAGTGGTTACATCATGAGCTCAGAGTCCAGAGGAGTGACGACGTCCTGACAGATCCACAGCGGTAAATGAAGAAACCCCACAGACGTTCACCTGTCATACACTTCACATATACTTATCAGTGTGTCTGTATGTGTGTGTGTACACAGTCAGGAGTACCAGCAGTGGGCGTGTCAGGAGTTTTACTGCCCTCGTCCAGTGGAGCATGGAGGCTGTGGAGGAGACATGGAGATCCTATGTTCTCATCTTCTTGACGCCGTCATGGACCAGCCATCAAGGTGCTGCAAACTAAAACTAGGCAAAATAAAATCACTGATTTTCTCTGTGGACTTTGGTCTGTGTCAGTGGGTGATAAGACGTTAAATCTTCTTTAGTTTTTATTGTCCAGTTTATTCTTAGCTCCTGTGCTGAGGTTGGGTCTGTTTCCTGTTCACAGTGACCTGCTGCTGCAGAGACTTGATCACAGAGCCTCCTGTCTTAGAGGATCTTGTCTGCCTGACATCATGTCCAGGTTACAGGTGTGTGTCCATGCAAGGATTTGGAGTCAAGATTATTAAAAACATGACTAAAATGTTGTTTATGTGTGTGTTTGTTTGTCCTGTGTGAAGGAGTTCCTCTGTGAATTCAAACTGACAAACGTCCAGAGTCACCAGAGCAGCAGAGCAGATGTTTGTGACTTCCTGTTTGACTTCGTCTCCAGGAGGTTCTCATCCACAGGGAGCTCAGAGCTCCACCTGCAGCACACACTCGACACCTGGAACAGGTACACACACACACACACACACAGACAATGACAAGCAGATACAGAGACACAGGGACAGAGACACAGGGACCTCAGGGGAGTCTAACCCAGTTGGACAGAACCCGTTGGTTTCCGACCCTCCTTAGCTTCTGCTCCTCTTTCAGAGTCCTGCTGTCTCTGCCTCCACTGCTCCTGGTCAAAGTGAGGTCTGAAGGGGGGAGGAAGACTGTGGACTGCAGTCGACTGATCCAACACATCAACCAGCATCAGGTCTCACCTCACCCTCTCAGGTCTTTCACCCTACTGTTGGAAACAGGTTGATTCTCAAACAGACTTTTATGTTGAAACTCCACAGAGGATTTCCTGTTCTGCTGTGGGCTTCCTGTCTTTTCACCTCACAGCCCATTTCTTCAGGGTGAGACTATGTTCACTAAGGTTTTGGACGGTCACATGACCTGATCTGACAGTGTGTGTGTGTTTCCTCTGCAGGCCTTGTTCTGTGCCAGCGTTTGTTGTGAACAGCGCAGAGAAGAAGTGAATAAGAGCTGGTCTCAGATCAGTGAGCAGTGTCCTCTGCTCCTGACCTCAGCTGTGGTAACACATGACCTCTCACCGTATCCAACCAGATTGTTACTATGGTGACGGAGGTCACAGGTCATTCTGATGTCCTGTGTGTGTGTGTGTGTGTGTGTGTGTGCAGCTGTGGTGGCAGCCAGCTGTGGTGGCAGCCTCTGTCTGCGATGCTGTCGTCTCTCTGGAGTGGTGTTGGTGAGGAAGAACCTCTGCCTGAGAAGCTGCAGCTCATCACTGACTGTCAACACTGGGCAAACAGGTGACACTTCCTGTTTCATTTACTTATACTTAGACAAGGCCCAACTCTCTGTTTTCAAAATAAAATGACCTGGTCCTTGACTGAGAGACAGAACTCACTCTTCCTCTCTGATGATCTCCAGTGTAGTGACCAGTTCGTGGTCACAGTCCATGCCTTCAGCTCCAGCCCTGCTCTTGGCCTCCTGTCTCTATCAGTGCTGCAGAAGTCCAGGTCAGAACAGGCAGAACTTCAGTTCAGCTCTAAACCTGCTGCGACCAGAGAGAGGAGCCCAGTGCCGACAGGTAAGACCAGAACATGGCTCTTAGTCTAGTTAAACTGAGGTTTGTAACTCATTCATCAAATCAGTGATTTTAGTTCACTGGGACACCACTGCTGATGGTCCTCTGCTGCCTCCTGTGGTCAGTCAGTCTGGTCAGTCAGAAGTAAAAATAAAACTGCCCTGTCTCTGTGAGGTTAAATCCCTGGTTTGTTGTGGAACATCCTGTATTTTCTTGTTCTTGTTCCTCACTCTTCCTCAGTCTGTGGCTGGAATGACCTTCCATCCTGCACTTTGTTCTTTCAGGTTCTGGTGTATTTGTTTTTCATCTGCGTGAACAGGTTTCTGTCAGCGCTGCTGTATCCAAAGGTACCAGATTAAAGTTCATTCAGGATTAGACAGGTTAATCTGAGATTTGTATAATCTGTAATCAGTCTTTTTTAATCTTTTTTTTCTGCAGCAGAAGAATAAAGAAAACCTTCTTCTTCTCTGCTCAGACCTTCTGTCAGTGTTGGTGGATTCTTCAGAATGGCTGCTCGTCTTCACACCCAGTGGTAGTCACTCTCTTTAGGGCTAAAATAATGGGGCATTATTACAAAATTACCGGTATTTCAAATTGTAAAGGCATTTCAGTTTTTTTTAAGGATTTCTACCCTCTGTCTGTATTTCCTTCTTTTTATTGGTTGACTGTATATACTCTATAGAACCAGTAGGTAGCAGTAATGCAACATACAGGATTCAAATCTACTGATAAAGGCAACAAAACTATTAAGAATGTTAGCTGGGTTAGCTTAGCCTTGGTGAAGGCTAACATGCTACAGTGTGTGCTAAGGCAAGGCTCACGTACTTCACATTGTGTTTCACCTCATCAGTGTTTAAGTAGCACGGCTAACGCTAGCCTCTTCTGCAGCAGAAGGAGGCGTTTATCAGTCAGTCAACCTGATGACCTCAGACGACCTTTCCAGGATGATGCCCTGGGGCTTCTACAGGTGAGTCTGTCTGCAGAATAATGACCCGTCCATCACCACCTCGGACTGGAGAAGGATCCAGGACATCTTTCATCAGTACTGAAGGTTTAAAAAGACGTTTGTTAATTACAGGCTGCTGCTGCACCAGAACACTGAGCTCCAGCAGAGGGCGCTGCAATGTCCAGGTTACATTCACACAGCCGCTCTCTGCTACATCCGTCTGCTGCAGCTGTTCTTGGAAGGACAGACACTGACTGATCCACAGACAGAAGAGCAGCAGGTGAAGTTTAAGAACTAGGGGTGTATACTGGCAGTAATCTGGTGATACAGTTTGTTGTTATAACAGAAACAGTCAGTGAGGGTGTGACTCTGGTATCAACTACAGTCTGACTGAACTTTAATGCTGTTTCTTCTGACATAGATTCTGACCCAGGCCAAGATGCATGTCCTGAAAGTCATCTCACAGGCGCCCCCTGCTGCTCTGTCCTCAGCACAGCTCAGAAGGGTACAACAGAACAGAAGGACAGAACAGGTCTCCTGTCACGTCCTCTCTCTCTGGTCTGACCACAGTCTGGTTTCTGTCTGCAGCTGGAGGCCCAGTGTTCAGACCTGGACCCAGAGGTGGCAGCAGCTCTGTCTCTTCACCTGGACCCCCCAGACCTCAGCCCCGAGATGGACTTCCTGTGATCAGCTGACCACTGTCAGGAAGACCCCTGTGCTCCAGCCGTAAAAACACATAACAGCACCATCAACCATGTGATCGACTGAAGATGGCGCCATCAACCATGTGATCGACTGAAGATGAAACGGTCGACCACTACGAGAGAGAAAATCCTTCTTTGTAACATTAACTTTAAACAGTGCTGACACTCATTTGTAAAAAAAACATTAAATTTTATTTTTTTTACATACACAGACATTTGTTATTATAAAACAATAAATGCAGTTCACAGAACTGTTAAAACCTTTAACTTTGTTAATTGTTTACACACAGTTGTTGGGACTTGTTTGTTTGAACCAGGTGACATTTCTGTGGAAACCTCTCAGAGCTGAGTGACAGCTGCTGCTGGTGAGTCTTATTTTTCTACTTCCTGTTTTCACCTCACAGACACAAACTGTATGCACACTTTTTTTTTTAATTTGTTCTTTTCTAAGTCATCTTCCGACTCACAGCAACTCGGGTCACGTCTGAGTCGTTTCAGTGTTTGAGTTTTTCACCTTTAAGTCGTGGCAGTGACTGGAAGACGCTCAACAAAGAGACGACGCCACCGTCCTCCTGTGACATCAGAGGTTTTGGATCATGTTTCACTCTATCATCCGTACCAGACTGGACCTGGACTTCCTGTCGTCATCTGTCCTGGTGCTGTTGAACCACCTCTGTGCTCAGTGTGATGGCGCTCTCCTCGGAGTACGGTGGAGGCAGCTGTGTTGGTGGTGGTTGTTGTTGTTGTTGTTGTTGTTGTTGTGAATTTGGCGCCGCCCACTGATTGCTGCCTCTCTGGGCCACAGTCTGGATCACGGGGTGGACCATGGACATGTGGACGTTGAGGTTGTGGGCCTTCTCAAAACGCTTCCTACACACGACGCAGGCAAACTCCAGGTCGGCCTCTGCCTTGTGTTTGGTCATGTGATATTTGAGCGACGCTCGCTGTCGACACTGGAAGCCACACACTTCACACCTGTGGAAAAAAAAGATTCAAAACATCAAGAGCAGCTCAATAAATCTATATGTTCACACCAGGCAGAGTCTAAGAAATCCTAACTAAAAGTCACCTCACACCGGTGACCTCCAGTGACAGCCACAAGGTGGCACAATGTCTCCCATATGAAACAGTTGGCAGGATTAAGTTAGATTATTTTAACCTCAGAGGTCAGATTAGAAAGATTCTGTCAAATCTAAATATGCTGACTACGCCCCCTGGTGGGCCCTGATGGAGGAACACGTTGAATTTGATTGTCAGTTCTTTACAGACATCACTGTTGGAGGTTCCTGAAGGTGAGAACTCACTGCAGTGGTTTGGCTCCAGAGTGTCTCATCTGATGGACTGACAGGTGTTTCCTCTGTTTGAAGGTCTGTCCACACTGGTCACAGATGTAGTTCCTCTCCTCTGGACAAACACACTCAGAGTTCAGCACCAGAACAAACCACACGGTCGTGACTGGACTGGATCCAGCCTCCCTCCCCCCTCCCTCACCTGTGTGGATGAGTTTGACGTGGCGCTGCAGGTATCTGTCGATCATGAAGATCTTGTTGCAGCCTGGGTGAGGACACGGTCTCTCCCTCACCTCCTCGTGATGCTCCTTGATGTGCTTCTGGAAATAAAGAGACCCAGGTCAGTGGTTCTGGTCAGTTGCCAGCGCCCCCTTCTGGTCACAAAAGGAGGCACTGGTGTAGGACAGCGGTCAGTTCTGACCTCATAATAAGAACTGACCTTCAGACCATCGGGGGCCCGGTACACAGCTGTGCAGCCCTGGTACGGACACTTGTAGATGTTTGGCAGCTCCTCACTGAAAGGAGAAACAGGATTGGTTCAGATGTGTTCCTGTCTGTGTGTCTACGTGTGTGTGTGTGTGTGTGTGTTCTACCTCTTAGGTTTGAACTTGTTCTTCCAGCCTGGTTTGGGTCCAGGTTTCTTTTTGATCCTCGGCTCCTCTGTGATCGTTGTGTCCTGCCTTCTTTTGTTGGTGGCGTTAATTCTGTGACCTCTGACCCAGAGACATGTTGTTGTTGTTGTTTACCTGTCATATGGGTGTACAGATATGATTGTACTGTTGATGTTCTGACCTGGTTGTAGAGTTTGGATCAAAGGGCTCGTCCTCTGACATCACTGCTTTTCTCCCATCTTCAACCTCGTCCTCAGAGAAGACCCTAACACAGAGACCACCGACTCATTATTAGTACGTCTTCATCAGTCACTGAGGTGGTCGTAGCTGGGTGTATCTACACGGTCTAGATCTAACACAGCTCTACAGACCAGGGTTTGGTCATGGAGGTCAGGGGGCTAAAACAACTGAGCTGCGCTGACCTCTGACCTCTGATCTGAAGCAAACGTTACCTTCTTAAGACTTATCGCAATGCTTGACATAAAGATGGCTGACGTGACCTGATTGGCTAAGAGTCTTTGATCTGACTGTGATGGAGGTGTGGTGAAGATGATGATGAAGACGAGCCGGTGTCTCACCTGTCGGACAGATCGCTGTCGGCCGTCCTGTCCTCCAGATGAGCCTCAGCAGGAGCCAACGTCTCTGTGACATCAACAAACCAAGATGAACAACTTGATGTGAAAATATCGGGATATTTCCTCTCCCAATACCGCATCAATATTCTGCAGCACTTCATGGATTTTTTTTATATCAATAAACAGAAAGTCCTGAGAGTTTTTCGACTCTGAGGGTTTAGGACAGTCCTACCTGCAGCCCCGTCAGTCCACTGGTCCACAGCTGAGTTCTGTTTCTGCATCATCACTGCGTCGGTCAAACTTGCTCCTGTGGTTTTCTCACCCTCCGCTTCTGCCCGCTGCCTAAGCCTCCCCCCCTCAGACCACGCA